GGTCAACTCCACCACGACAGCGATCGCTACGCACGTCAGCTTACATGAAGTATGATCTGTGTTTTGATTTAGTGTGCTGATCTTAAAGGTGCATTGAAAAATGTTGATGCTCCTACTGTTGTGGAGTGACTCATGCAGCCAGCTATGGCTGCAGGGTTTGGTAGTACATGTTGTTTATGTCGTTTATTGTGAAAATTCGGTCACAGTTCCTATGATCACTGTTTCATTGCTTTTATGGCTTAATTTTGGTGATTTTCGAAAAGTTTTTTGGTTTGGCCATGTTTGTTTGTTGTAGTACAGAGTTAGACTGATGGCCTTAATCTAAGTTGTCTTGTGGTTGTTGTTGTTGTTGTTTGAATTGCATCCCACTGGGATTTTTGCACACAGCGTTGGTGTAACGGTGCTTTTTCTGCAATATTTTGCTGTCTTTTCATGGATTTTCTGTTTGCACTCAGTCACATATTCACTTTAAGATGTTTTTGTTCATGTTTTTGTTTTTGTTTGTTGAGGTTGCACCCGATTCAAGAGCCAAATGGCTCACAGGGCCACACCTAATACATGAACTTGAACTTGAAGGTCCTAGTGTGGACACACGTTGACCAGTGTAAGAGGTGGGGGGGGGGGTCACCTTCGGTCAACCCCCACACGCCTCAAGTTTCAAGTTTTCATGTATTAGGTATAGCCCTGTGAGCCATTTGGCTCTTGAATCGGGTGCAACCGCAACAAACAAAAAAACAAAAACATGAACAAGAAAACATCTTAAAGTGAATATGTGACTAAGTGCAAACAGAAAATCCAAGAAAAGACAGCAAAATATTGCAGAAAAAGCACCATACACCAACGCTGTGTGCAAAAATCCCAGTGGGATGCAAGTCAAACAACAACAACAACCACAAGACAACTTAGATTAAGGCCATCAGTCTAACTCTGTACTACAACAAACAAACATGGCCAAACCGAAAAACTTTTCAAAAATCACCAAAATAAAGCCATTAAAGCAATGAAACAGTGATCATAGGAACTCTGCTGCCCCCTGTGGGCCCGTGAGCTTGGGGGCATCTAAGGTGACCTGCAGAGCCTTGCTATGGCGCAACACGTATACACACACTCACGCAGTTTAACACTCACACACACAACAACAACAACAACGGCCATTCGCCACTAAGTGGCGGTGACGTTACCACATCGCTTTTGCCAGGCCACGTGCAATTTGAGGCTACCACGTGGCAGGAGGAGGTGATGGGGCAGACCCAGCAGGTGTCACGTGTCAACTGACTGAGACGAGTGGCTGATGCTACCACCACATTGTGGGCCCCTGCTGTGCCAACTCGCTGTGTGGGTCTCTGCAGGTCTCCACAACTTGCGGATGAGTTCTGCTGCTGCCATTTCAACGACCCTGAGGTTTGGTGGTCGTCTGGGCCTTCGTTGGTGTTGACGCCTTGGTAATTGAGATGTTAACTACCTCGCCTGGTGTACAGGAGGTCGTGGGTTACACCATAATCATCACGGTGGCTGGGAAATGTTAACTACCTCGCTACTATACACTGCACGATACAATACACTACACTGGCATACACTACTATACACTGCTATACACTATAGTAATGTACACTACACTACTATACACTCCACTACTGTATACTACACTAAACACTTATATCTCTATACTATACAGTACACTACTATACAATACACTATACTATACACTACAAAGCTATACAATACACTACTATACACTTATATATACTACACTACACTACTATACACTCCACTATACAATACACTATACACTTCAATATACTACACTATACACATATATACTACACTGTACTATACAGTACGCTACTATACACTACACTGGTATCCACTACACTACTATATACTACACTATAGTAATATACACTTTACACTACTATACACTACTCTAAACACTTATATTTACTACACTACTATACACTATACTATACAGTTGTTGGGGCCGCTGGTCCCCGAAGTCCCTCCCTGCTCCGTACCTATGGCAGGGGCTCTGCCGTTCGTCGACCCCTCGCTGCTCTGCGAGCAGCTGCTGCCGTCGCTGGGCTCATTGCCCGACGGCTCCCCTCCCTGGTCCGTCCCTCCGCGAGCTCGTGTGAGAGGCATAGCTCGCCGCACGCTCTCGTTCACCTGTACATGCTGCGTTGTCTCTCCACGGATCACGCGCTCTAAACGGGGGTCAGGGGTCGGAGGGCGAATGACGCTGCCCTCACACCGCGCGAGTCCCTGCGGCGATAGACGGAGCGGGTACCTGCGGACGCACCGACCCCTTCCCCCACACTACGAGCGCACACACTGCACACACGCGACACCCACTCGTGCGCCGCTCCACGCAGCGCTCACTCACGTGGTGAACCACAGTGTACACACGCGCACCCACACGCTCACACTGCACGACAATATCACGCGAGACCACGCTTCGCTATTAATGATTTATTATCTGATACCTGGTAATTTAATGTTAAATCAGTGAGTCGACGAGGCTGGCCTACGCTGATACCTTTATACCTATTCCCGATTTATCTGCTATGATTCTAATTCACCTACTTACTTCCTGCTGGATGCCCACGGCGGTTCGTTGATCCCGTGCTCGCAGCGCACCTCGATGCGTCTCACGGACGATCGGGTCGCTGGACTGGAGAGCGTCCTGTCGCCTGGCGCTGGAGAGAACCGCTATTTTCCCTCTGCGCCCCTCTATTTATCCTCCCTACCTCAAAGGGGATGCTGCGCTAAACAATGGGCTCGCGATCCTCTGGCACGCGCACGGCGGTTCTGGGCGCTGTTGATATGCTAATCAGTGTGCTGCGTGCAAGGCGTAAATCCTACTTAATCCCTTACCCTCCCTTACAATGGGGCCTGCGCGCTCAAGCGCAATTATCCCAACCCTCCATGACTATGCGCAACAGCCCCTGTGACCCCGCTATTCATGCTGTCCCGTGCCTCCCCTGCTCGCCCCGTCGACCCGTGGGAGTGTGTGTGGGGGGAAATGCGCCTCAACCGCGGTGGCCGAATGCCCCACGCCGCGACCACACCATATTAAGGCCGGCCGCAGCGCCGCGGTGCCACGTAGCACGGGGGAGGTCATCCAATTCCCTGATCGCCGGAAACCGTGAGAATTAATCCCGATAAGGGTCTCTCGGATAAAAACCGGTCGGCCAGGCGACCTCCCCTCGGAGCTCTATGGGGGGGGGGAAATGAGTGCGGGTGTGTTCATGTGAGGTGAGGTGAGGGGGACGCGGGGTCGGCTCCGTTGCTTGGTGGTGGCGAGGTCGGGGATTTGGTGCCTGCCGAACGGCTTCGTGGCGGCGGCATCACACAGTCACGAAAGTTTTAAATCAAAATATAATCATTTTATTTAGCTACATTTCATGTCCAATATCTTTTCAGTTATGTGGGTGATAGGACATTGCTATTTGAGATATTTCCTGTTTCATCTCAGTCGTGAAGCTGAACTACAGTGACAATCTTTCCTGCTGTAACATTTTCAGATTTGCTTACTAAGATTAAGTTTCGATTTAAAGCTTTCGTGACTGCAGGGATTCATCTTCTTGGTTCTTTCGGTAAAGTAACATAAAATGGAAACAATAAAATAATAAAAATAAAACATTAAATAATTCTCACGACGTTTCGGCCACAACGCAAGCAGCCGTCCTCAGGTGAAGAACAGGTCTGTCGAGAAGACAGAGTTTGAAACTGTGTGTGCTGTGTGAAACTGTGTGTGTGCTGTGTGAAACTGTGTGTGGCTGTGTGAAACTGTGTGTGTGTGCTGTGTGAAACTGTGTGTGTGTGTGCTGTGTGAAACTGTGTGTGTGCTGTGTGAAACTGTGTGTGCTGTGTGAAACTGTGTGTGCTGTGTGAAACTGTGTCTGTGCTGTGTGAAACTGTGTGTGCTGTGTATGTGTGCTGTGTGAAACTGTGTGCTGTGTGAAACTGTGTGTGCTGTGTGAAACTGTGTGTGTGCTGTGTGAAACTGTGTGTGCTGTGTGAAACTGTGTGAAACTGTGTGCTGTGTGAAACTGTGTGTGTGCTGTGTGTGTGCTGTGTGAAACTGTGTGTGCTGTGTGAAACTGTGTGTGTGCTGTGTGAAACTGTGTGTGCTGTGTGCTGTGTGTGTGTGCTGTGTGAAACTGTGTGTGTGCTGTGTGAAACTGTGTGAGTGCTGTGTGAAACTGTGTGTGTGCTGTGTGAAACTGTGTGTGTGCTGTGTGTGTATGCTGTGTGAAACTGTGTGTGCTGTGTGCTGTGTGAAACTGTGTGTGCTGTGTGAAACTGTGTGTGCTGTGTGAAACTGTGTGTGTGCTGTGTGTGTATGCTGTGTTAAACTGTGTGTGTGCTGTGTGAAACTGTGTGTGTGCTGTGTGAAACTGTGTGTGTGCTGTGTGAAACTGTGTGAAACTGTGTGTGCTGTGTGAAACTGTGTGTGTGCTGTGTGAGCTGTGTGAAACTGTGTGAAACTGTGTGTGTGCTGTGTTAAACTGTGTGTGTGCTGTGTGAGCTGTGTGAAACTGTGTGAAACTGTGTGTGCTGTGTGAAACTGTGTGAAACTGTGTGTGCTGTGTGTGTGTGCTGTGTGAAACTGTGTGTGCTGTGTGTGTGTGCTGTGTGAAACTGTGTGCTGTGTGTGTGTGCTGTCTTCTTGACAGACCTGTTCTTCACCTGAGGACGGCTGCTTGCGTTGTGGCCGAAACGTCGTGAGAATTGTATTTTATTTTGTTTTATTTGTATTATTTTTATTATTTTAGTATTTCCATTCTACGTGACTTTAGCGTCAAACTATTCAAGTAACACACACACACACACAGCGCGGGTCGGGCTGATAAAACCAGCCGGCTAGTAGAAACCGCCGGCCGGCACGTCGGGACCGCCGGTGCCCCTTGACCCCCCCCAGGCACGTGAGGCCCAGGCACCTCCCGTCCAGCGGCACACGTCAGTTTAAAAAAAAAAATCCCCCCCCAAAAAAGTGAAAAGCCAAACCCAGGGCACCGATTGTAACCGGCATTAGCCAAACATCCCCCCGGTGGTGCTGAAGAACATCACTCGGTTGTGATCACGCAACAACAACAATAACAACAACAATAACAACAACAACGACAGAAGCAGCAACAACGCGTACACGTGGAGCGGTTGTTGTTGTTGTGGCGGTGGAGGGGACGCGAGCGTCAGACAACAACAACAACCACGACCACGATCGTCGCCAAAGTGAGAAGCGCTTGCAGCCAAAACATCCCGGGGCACGTGGCTGAGGCGAGCAGATTCAGATTCAGAACCAAAACACGGCGCCCCACACACACCCAGAGCCACCCCACGTGGCTCCTCCCACCCACGTGGCTCCTCCCACCCCCCCCCCCCCCCCCCGCTTCTCAAACCTTCTCATCCCACACCTCGTCGTCATCTTCGTTCTTGAAACGCTGCGTGGGTCGGAAAGAAAACAGCGGATCGCTCACTCAGCCTCAGCAGCAGCATCGTGATGTGGGCGGACACTCACTCACCACTCACTCCACACACCACCCCTCCCCACCCCTCCCCTCCTCACCCCACCCCTCCCCACCCCAGCCCACCCCTCCTCACCCCACCCCACCCCTCCCCTCCCCACCCCACCCCACCCCACCCCTCCTCACCCCTCCCCACCCCTCCCCTCCTCACCCCACCCCTCCCCACCCCAGCCCACCCCTCCTCACCCCACCCCACCCCTCCCCTCCCCACCCCACCCCACCCCTCCCCACCCCACCCCTCCCCACCCCAGCCCACCCCTCCTCACCCCACCCCTCCCCTCCCCACCCCACCCCACCCCTCCCCACCCCACCCCTCCCCACCCCACCCCTCCCCACCCCAGCCCACCCCTCCTCACCCCCACCCCACCCCTCCCCTCCCCACCCCACCCCACCCCTCCTCACCCCTCCCCACCCCTCCCCTCTTCACCCCACCCCACCCCTCCTCACCCCACCCCACCCCTCCCCTCTTCACCCCACCCCACCCCTCCTCACCCCTCCCCACCCCTCCCCTCTTCACCCCACCCCACCCCTCCTCACCCCTCCCCACCCCTCCCCTCCTCACCCCACCCCGCCCCACCCCACCCCTCCCCTCCTCACCCCACCCCTCCCCACCCCACCCCTCCCCACCCCAGCCCACCCCTCCTCACCCCACCCCTCCCCTCCCCACCCCACCCCACCCCTCCCCACCCCACCCCTCCCCACCCCACCCCTCCCCACCCCAGCCCACCCCACCCCTCCCCTCTTCACCCCACCCCACCCCTCCTCACCCCTCCCCACCCCTCCCCTCTTCACCCCACCCCACCCCTCCTCACCCCTCCCCACCCCTCCCCTCCTCACCCCACCCCTCCCCACCCCACCCCACCCCTCCCCTCCTCACCCCACCCCTCCCCACCCCACCCCACCCCTCCCCTCACCCTGTAGTTGTAGTTGCCCTCTCCGCTGTCTTGGTGCTGAGTCTGCGGTTGCAACTCGTGTAGCTCCTCATCCTTCTCGATGTCACTCCCTAGCGGTAGCCACTACACACGGAGCATTACCACAACACGCACAGTCTGTGTGGTGAGTCTGTGGGTCTCTGTGTGGTGAGTCTGTGGGTCTCTGTGTGGTGAGTCTGTGGGTCTCTGTGTGGTGAGTCTGTGGGTCTCTGTGTGGTGAGTCTGTGGGTCTCTGTGTGGTGAGTCTGTGGGTCTCTGTGTGATGAGTCTATGGGTCTCTGTGTGGTGAATCTGTGGGTCTCTGTGTGGTGAGTCTGTGGGTCTCTGTGTGGTGAGTCTATGGGTCTCTGTGTGGTGAGTCTGTGGGTCTCTGTGTGGTGAGTCTGTGGGTCTCTGTGTGGTGAGTCTGTGGGTCTCTGTGTGATGAGTCTATGGGTCTCTGTGTGGTGAATCTGTGGGTCTCTGTGTGGTGAGTCTGTGGGTCTCTGTGTGGTGAGTCTGTGGGTCTCTGTGTGGTGAGTCTGTGGGTCTCTGTGTGGTGAGTCTGTGGGTCTCTGTGTGATGAGTCTATGGGTCTCTGTGTGGTGAATCTGTGGGTCTCTGTGTGGTGAGTCTGTGGGTCTCTGTGTGGTGAGTCTGTGGGTCTCTGTGTGGTGAGTCTGTGGGTGTCTGTGTGGTGAGTCTGTTGGTGTCTGTGTGGTGAGTCTGTGGGTCTCTGTGTCTCACACGGTGTAGCAGCATTCTCCACACCGCCACACACGACACCAAACACTCCACAGAAGACGCAGAGAGACACGGACGGACTGGGCCTCCGTGTCGGGCAGCGGTGTGCCTCTCACCTGGCCAAGGTCGCACTCCGTGCTTCTCCGCGGTGGCTTGGGGAGGGTGGGGGTCTCCTCCCTGCGCGCGTGTGGGGGTGGGGGGAGGTAGTGGTGGGGGGGGTGGTGGGGGGGGGCACAGCGGCGGCTCGTCACACAAATAACCCCGCGGGCAACGCCGCCGATGACGTCCGGCGCACGTCCGAGCGAGGCGAGCGACTCACGTGGCTCCCCGGGGCGCAAGCCGGCGCCGGCGCCGGCGGCGGTAGAGCGGCAGCAGCAGCAGCAGCAGCGTGGCCGCCAGGGCGAGGGACGCGGCGAGGACTGCGGCCCGGCTGGTCCAGCCCGCCGCCGCCGCTGTCTCTGCGTGGCACAACGATCCCCCGCGTGGCGTTAGCACGACGACGACAACAACCGCCGCGGCGGCAACAACAACAGGCGCCAGGCTAGGTGCACGTCGAGGCTCGCGGCCGCTCGCACCCGGGCGTCGCGGGTCGAGGGAGTGAAGCGAACGTCGGACGGAGGCAAAGTTCCCCCGTGAAGGCCCCAGCAGACTGTGGGGGCGGGGGCCGTTAGCGAGTGTTAGCAACTACGAAGGCCGGGGGGATTGTGACGAACGAGGTGATGGGTGGCCAGAACAGGGACACACGCACGCACACACACACACACGCACATACACACACGGGCACACACGGGCACACACACGTACATACGGACACACACACACGCACACACACACACGGGCACACACACGCACACACACACACACAGGCACACACACACACGCACACGCACGCACACACACACACGGGCACACACACGTACACACGGACACACACACACGCACACACGCACACACACACACGGGCACACACACGGGCACACACACACACAGGCACACACACACACGCACACACGCACACACACACATGGGCACACACACGGACACACACGCACACACACAGGCACGCACACACACACGCACACACAGGCACACGGACACACACACACACACTGGCACATGGACACACACATGCACACACAGGCACACACACGCACACGGACACACACACAGACACACACGCACACACAGGCACACACACTTTTACATGGATACACACACGCACACGGACACACACACGCACACACAGGCACACACACACACGCACACACAGGCACACACACGCACACAGACACACACACGCACACAGACACACACACGCACACACACGCACACACAGGCACACACACACGCACACACACGCACACGGACACACACACGCACACACACAGGCACACACACACACGCACACACAGGCACACACACACAGGCACACACGCACACACAGGCACACACACGCACACACACGCACACACACGCACACACACCCACACACACGCACACACACACGCACACACACACACGCACCAACATTCAGAGATACGAACAAACCTGTTTGTGTGTCCAGTTGCCTGTTCGGACTGAAAGTCGTGAGCTCAACCGGCGTGCAACAGATGGCGGTGGTGGCGTTTACATCTCCAGAACGTGAAGAACCAGTGGCATCTACAGAACGTGAAGAATCAGTGGCGTTTACATCTGCAGAATGTGAAGAACCAGTGACATCTACATCTACAGAACGTGAAGAACCTGTGGCATCTACATCTGCAGAATGTGAAGAACCAGTGGCATCTACATCTGCAGAAGATAATGAGTCTATGGGTCTCTGTGTGAGTCTATGGGTCTCTGTGCGAGTAGTCTATGGGTGTCTGTGCGCTGAGTCTATGGGTGTCTGTGTGAGTGAGTCTATGGGTCTCTGTGTGATGAGTCTACGGGTCTCTGTGTGAGTGAGTCTATGGGTCTCTGTATGAGTGAGTCTATGTGTCTCTGTGTGAGTGAGTCTATGGGTCTCTGTGTGATGAGTCTATGGGTCTCTATGCGAGTCTATGGGTCTCTGTGTGAGTAGTCTACGTGTCTCTGTGTGAGTCTACGTGTCTCTGTGTGAGTCTACGTGTCACTGTGTGATGAGTCTATGGGTCTCTGTGTGAGTGGTCTATGGGTCTCTGTGTGAGTAGTCTACGTGTCTCTGCGCGAGTCTATGGGTCTCTGCGTGTGGCAGCGCTAATCCTCACCGACGACTGAGAGCTTGACGCTCCCCTCGAAGCTCCCGTCCGGGAAGGTGTCGACGCGGCACACGAAGCGGCCCCCGTCGCTAGGCCGCACGTCCAGCAGCTCCAGCGAGCCGTCGCCCGGCGGCGCCCCGACACGGAACCGCAGGCGGCCCACGAGGGGCGAGTTGGCGTAGGCCGTGCCGTGCCGCGGGCTGAGCACGGCCAGACTGGTCCTCGCCCCGACCTCGTCGTCCTCGTCGTCGTCGCCAGCGGACGCCTTTAGCCAGTTGACCTGCGCCACCGCGGCGGTGGCGCCGCCACGCAGGAGGCAGCGGAGCAGCGCAACCTTCTGGCCGACCAGCGCGGTGAGCTGGCCGTCCGTGTTGACGGCCACACGAGGGGCTGGGTGGGGAGAGCGCGCAGAGTTCAGAGTTCAAAGTTCAAGGTTCATTTATTAGGTGTAGCTCTTGAATCGGGTGCAACTGCAACAAACAAAAAACATGAACACGAAAACATCTTAAAGTGACTGAGTGCAAACAGAAAATCCGAGAAAAGACAGCAAAATATTGCAGAAAAATCACCGTACACCAACGCTGTGCAAATATCCCAGTGGGATGCAAGTCAAACAACACCAACCACAAGACAACTTAGATTAAGAGACCCATAGACTACTCACGCAGACCCATAGACTACTCATAGAGACCCATAGAACACTCACGCAGAGACCCATAGACTCACCACACAAAGACCCATAGACTACTCACAGAGACCCATAGACTACTCATAGAGACCCACAGACTACTCACGCAGAGACCCCACAGAGACCCATAGACTACTCATAGAGACCCATACACTCACCACACAAAGACCCATAGACTACTCACAGAGACCCATAGACTACTCACAGAAACCCATAGACTACTCACAGAGACCCATAGACTACTCACACAGAGACCCACTTCACACACACACAAAGATCTCTCTCACTCATTCACCCAACCACCCACTCAACCACCCACTCACCCACCCACTCACCCACCCACTCACTCATTCACCCACCCACTCACCCACCCACTCACCCACCCACTCACCCACCCACTCACCCACCCACTCACTCAATCACCCACCCACTCACCCACTCACTCACTCACTCATTCACCCAGCCACCCACTCACCCACCCACCCACCCACTCACTCACCCACCCACCCATTCACCCACCCACCCACTCACCCACCCACTCACCCACCCACCCACTCACCCACCCACCCACTCACTCACCCACCCACCCACCCACTCTCCCACCCACTTACTCACCCACCCAACCACCCACTCACCCACCCACCCACCCACTCACTCACCCACTCACTCACTCACTCACCCACCCACCCACTCACCCACTCACTCATTCACTCACTCACCCACCCACCCACCCACCCACCCACTCACTCACTCACTCACCCACCCACCCACTCACCCACCCACTCACTCATTCACCCACCCATCCACTCATTCACCCAGCCACCCACTCACCCACGGCGCTGTGTGGTGGAGGGACGGAGACACACGACAGGGGAGACCACTCCCCGGCCTTCCACCGCGGGAAGTCAGCTACGATTCTCACGCGGACGCAGAACTCCTCCTCCTCGTCGCCCCGAGGCGGAGGCACCGCACGTTGGTAGCGGCATCCGATGAAGCGCCCCTGGGAGTAGCATCATCAGTAGTAGTAGTAGCATCATCAGTTGCAGCAGCAGTAGTATCATCATCATCAGTAGTAGCAGCAGCATCATCAGTAGCAGCATCATCATCAGCAGCAACATCATCATCATCAATAGCAGCAGCATCATCAGTAGTAGTAGCAGCAGTAGTGGCATCATCATCATTAGTAACAGTAGTAGTAGCAGCAGTAGTAGCATCATCATCATCATTAGTAACAGCAGTAGTAGCAGCAGTAGTAGCATCATCATCATTAGTAACAGCAGTAGTAGCAGCAGTAGTACCATCATCATCATTAATAACAGCAGTAGTAGCAGCAGTAGTAGCATCATCATAATCATCAGTAGTAGTAGCAGCAGTAGTAGCATCATCATCATCATTAGTAGCAGTAGTAGTAGCAGCAGCAGTATCGTCAGTAGCAGTGGCATCATCAGTAGCAGCAACATCATCATCGGCAGTAGCATCATCAGTAGCAGTGGCATCATCATCAACATCATCATCGGCAGTAGCATCATCAGTATCAGCATCATCAGTAGCATCATCATCAGTAGCAGCATCACCACCCACCCACTCGACCACACACACATCTCCCGCCACGACCTCCCGACCCCCGTCACAACTCCCGCAGCCTCTCACCGTGCGTAGAGCGCCGTCTCTTGTTGAGATCTCAACCTGGTGGTGGAACTCCACGTGGTGTGACACCAGCGTCTTCAACGCTCGCCCCACGGAGACAGACACGGACAGCCTCCACACCTCCACCACCTCCACCCCGTCAACTGCCGCCTGCAACTCCCCAGCCTCCCCACCACCACCACCGCCACCACCGCCACCACCGCCGCCACCACCGCCACCGCCGCCGCCACCACCACCGCCACCACCACCGCCACCACCGCCACCACCACCGCCACCACCGCCGTCGTCATCGTCGCTGAAGTTGGAGATGTTGTAGACGTCCTCACCGCCATCTTCACCGCCGTCGTCATCGTCGCCGTCAAGGTCAAGGTCATCGTCGTCGGAGTTGTCGTCCTCACCGCCATCCTCACCGCCATCATCATCGTCCTCACCGCCATCCTCACCGCCATCTTCACCGCCATCTTCACCGCCATCATCACCGCCATCTTCACCGCCATCTTCACCGCCATCTTCACCGCCATCTTCACCGCCATCATCATCGTCGTCGTCGTCGCCGTCATCGTCGTCGTCTTGAACGTCAACCTCAACACCGCACTCCTCATCCTCCTCCTCCTCACCCTCCTCACCCTCCTCCATCGTCACTTTGTCGAGCCTCAGAATGAACGACGGAGCGCTGAGCACAGCTGAGACACGGCAGGGTGGGGGGGGGGTCATGGGTGGGGGGTGAGGAGACGTTTATGTGATCTCCCACTGTCCTACAGAGTGAGTGAGTGGAGTTTGTGTGATCTCCCCCTGTCCTACAGAGTGAGTGAGTGGAGTTTGTGTGATCTCCCCCTGTTCTACAGAGTGAGTGAGTGTAGTTTGTATGATCTCCCCCTGTTCTGCAGAGTGAGTGAGTGGAGTTTGTATGATCTCCCCCTGTTCCGCAGAGTGAGTGAGTGTAGTTTGTATAATCTCCCCCTGTTCTACAGAGTGAGTGAGTGAGTGGAGTTTGTGTGATCTCCCCCTGTCCTACAGAGTGAGTGAGT